ACACACACACACACACACACACACACACACACACACACACACACACACACACACTATAGGAATATTGTAGATTTATGTATCTCTGTATTTTTTTGTGTGCTGTACATTTGTTTTGTTTTGCTTTTTCTGTCTCTTACAGGTGCAGCAATAGGCAATACAATGTGCATTCCTATTTGTGGAATACACGATTGCTTTTGTAATTGTATCATTGGATCTATATACCCATAAGTTCTGGACACAGATTAAGAAAAGAGCTGAACTGTCAGCTGATCCCAACCAGGTGGTGAGTTGGATCAGGTGGCGGATAGTATGCCAGCACGCCTAAAGGTGGAGGTTATCCCCACTGTTATGTTTTCCCCTGTTTGTGTCATTAACTAAGCAGGAGTTATACAGAGCCAGACAGATAAACACGTTAGCTGTTTACATTCAGCCTTCTTCTTTTTATTCATTATACCTCAGGAAGATACACACACATTACATGGTGACCACTACTGGCGATAGCTTGTATAACACATATATATAACACCAGTGACGTGGCACCAGATAAGTGAAAAAAAGATAAATTAATGTTTGTTTATGTTCACATAATAACACTTGATACAGTGTAACAACAATTAATCATGAGGTAGGGACAGTACCTGAATCCTGAGCATGTGCGGAGTGCAACCCAGGAATCTGGATGTTTTCTTACATGGCCATGGTAAAAGCAATGATCCTGAAAGAGAAAAGATTTAGAAACATTATCTCCATCTTTCATTAGCAAAAAAGCTCTACAAAAATACAGGATTGTTTCTTCGGTGTGATGGATTGACCTGTTGGAGATTAGATTACTTTTGTTAGAGAGACTTCTGGATGTTATTCAGGATGTCACCATAGACAAAGTTGAACAGCTCCTCCTTTCATTTGGTTGCATCTGGCTGCACAACATCAGAGAAGTCTTTTAAGTCTTCACTGTTTTGAGTTTTGAGAAGTCATTTATGCTTGTAGTTTCTATAAATATAATTCGTTTTCCTTGTGGTTATGATTTTTCCTGATTCCCATATTGTTCTATTTCTGTATTGTTCTGTATGATTGATTTTAGGTTTGTTAGTTTCCTTTAACTCAGAAAATTTGCAACCTTGCCCATTCCTGTCCTGTATATGGACATATTACCAGTACAGTTAAGGGTATCTTTCACCAGCTTCCATCCTCACCACTGCCAGCCAGCTCCTGTCCTACTATTACACATTTTTACAGATATCTATGGTTTTGTTTGGGGGTTTTTTTTGTGTGGATGTATGGGTTTTTTTACTTACATCTGGTGAGAATTTAATACCAATAGCACATTTGGAAAGATATATACAGGGACAGGGTGGAGCAACAGTTTGACAACCCTCGGAGTATGTGGCAGGGACTAAACACGATCACAGACTTTAGAGGGAAAACCAGCACACTGCAGACCACGGCCTCTCTGTGTGAGGATCTAAACGTATTCTACGCTAGATTCGACACAGCGAACACCATGAGACCGGACAGTGTGCGCACCGCGGATGACGGCAGCGCGCACACTGTGTCTGAGGAGGATGTGCGGAAGTGCTTCAGGAAGGTGAACGCACACAAAGCTACTGGTCCGGACGGGATTCCCGGCCGCGTCCTCAAGTCATGCGCGGCTCAGCTGGCTGGAGTGTTCACGCACATCTTCAACCTTTCCCTCTCTCTGTCTGTAGTCCCAGCCTGCTTCAAAATGGCCACCATCGTCCCTGTACCCAAATCCTCCACCATCTCCTCATTGAACGACTGGCGACCTGTAGCCCTGACCCCCATCATGAGCAAATGCTTCGAGAAGCTGGTCAGGCACTTCATCCGCTCTGCACTACCCGACTCACTGGACCCGCTACAGTTCGCATACCGCCACAACAGGTCCACTGATGATGCCATAGCCCTGACACTACACACTGCCCTGTCACACCTGGAGAAGAGAGACACGTATGTGAGAATGCTGTTTGTAGATTACAGCTCAGCATTCAATACCATCGTTCCCTCGAAGCTGGACAGGAAACTGCAGGATCTAGGACTGAGCAGCTCCCTCTGCAGCTGGATCCTTAGCTTCCTGTCTGACAGACGCCAAGTGGTCAGACTGGGCAGCATCACCTCATCCCCCATCACACTGAACACTGGTGCTCCACAGGGGTGTGTACTGAGCCCTCTCCTTTACTCACTCTACACCTACGACTGCACGGCCACTAACAACTCCAACATCATTGTGAAGTTTGCGGACGACACTACAGTGGTGGGTCTTATCACCAATGGTGATGAGACGGCTTACAGGGAGGAGGTCAGTGCCCTGACCCACTGGTGTCAAGACAACCATCTCACCCTCAACGTCGCAAAGACAAAGGAGTTGATAGTGGACTTCCGGAGGTGCAGAGAAGTACACACCCCCATCACCATCAACGGCGCTGCTGTGGAGAGAGTGAGCAGCTTCCGGTTCAATTCAATTTCAATTCAATTCAATTTTATTTATATAGCGCCAAATCACAACATAAGTCGCCTCAAGGCGCTTCATAGATACAGAGAAAAAAAACCCAACAATCATATGACCCCCTATGAGCAAGCACTTTGGCAACAGTGGGAAGGAAAAACTCCCTTTTAACAGGAAGAAACCTCCGGCAGAACCAGGCTCAGGGAGGGGCGGCCATCTGCTGCGACCGGTTGGGGTGAGAGAAGGAAGACAGGATAAAAGACATGCTGTGGAAGAGAGACAGAGGTTAATAACAGATATGATTTAATGCAGAGAGGTCTGTTAATACATAGTGAGTGAGAAAGGTGACTGGAAAGGAAAAACTCAATGCATCATGGGAATCCCCCGGCAGCCTATGTCTATTGTTCCTTGGTGTACATCTGGCTGAGGATCTTACGTGGTCAGTACACACAAACAAAACAGTGAAGAAGGCGCAGCAGCGCCTCTTCTTTCTCAGGAGACTGAAAAGATTCGGCATGAGCCCCCGCATCCTCAGGACCTTCTATCACTGTGCCATTGAGAGCATCCTCACTGGATGCATCACCACCTGGTATGGCAACAGCACCGCCTACAACTGCAAAGCTCTCCAGCGAGTAGTGCGGTGCTCTGAACGGATAATTGGAGGTGAGCTTCCCTCCCTCCAAGACATCTACAGACTGAGAGACAGCTTCTTCCACCAGGCCATCAGACTGCTGAACACGTCATAGACACCTCAGCTTCACTACTGGAACACATGTGATGTGACAATAAAAGTGATTTGATTTGATATATACTTAGACAATTGAAATACACACACACACACACACACACACACACTTAAATAAATACATATTGATTTATATATGTCCACAAAAATTACAAGAAGTCCTTGTCTGACTTGGACATAACTGACATTTGGCAAGTTGGAAGGGTGTGTTTTATTAATTTACATTAAACTCTGATCCAGATCATGCGAAACATTTCCTGTATTTCCTGCATCTTTTCAACAATTCAAATCACGTAACAAGGAAGTCACATCAACCAGGGCCTCGTTTGTCTTTACCAATGACTGTAGAAAACATGGACGACGCGACAGCACCTCCTCCCATTGTGCAAAAAGACTGACGACTCGTTCAATTAAGGTAAATACAACCATGTCACTGTTATGAAAAAGACACACAGTTTAACATCTTATAGACACAGCTTTGACTAAGAACCCTCTTTTTATTCTTACTTTATGGCTTTAAAAAAATATCGAGTTATATATATCGTATGTTGCCATCCAGTTAAAGAATATCAAGATATGATTTTTGGGTCATATCGCCCAGTCCTAATAGAGACTAGTAGTGGATTTCCAGTGTTTCAACAGCACAGTTGTATTTCTGACAGCATAAGAATGGCCTACCTGGTGGAATTACTACAAAGAAGAGCTTTAGGGTGGGCCAAGAAGTGTTAAAAACTAAGCCCTGCTCACACCTCTAATTCTCGGGGACCTTTGGCTTTGTACTCACAATCCTAACCTTGACTAGTTTCACACTGGCATCTCTGGTTTGAGGACATGGCAGTGGTTTTCCATCAGGACAAGTAATCAGAATCGGAATATTTTATTAATCACCAAGGAAATTATGTGGTTACAGTTGCTCCAAGACAATATCAGGAAAAGACTGAACTAAAATAAATGATACCAATATATTACAAAGTTTACAAAATATAACAAATAGCTCAAATATATATAAATAGCTAAATTATTAATATCAAGAATATTACAGAGGTATGATTGACATTTTACTCTAAACTATAAGCTTGTTATTTGTTATTTTCCCTGTAGAGCATATGCAACAGGGTGTAACTACTGCACTGTGCATTAGGTGGAGGAGTTGTACAGGGTTAGAGTTAGCATTGATAGCCACAGGCAGGAATGATTTCATGTGTCATTTAGTGGTGCATTTGGGTGATCTTAGGCTATGTTCACACTGCAGGCGAAAGCGCATGAAATCTGACTTTTTTGACCCTATGCGACCCTGTCATGATATGACAGTGTGAACGGCACAAATCCGATATTTTCAAATCTTTCGTATGTGGTACTGAATCCGATACACATCTGATGTTTTAGAAAGCGACTGCTGTTTGAATGGCCATGTCACAACTGACAGACGGCAATTATCAGCGCCCGAGAAGCGCCCGAGAAGACATTGTGAATGCTTCCTGGCCATCCCGTGTAGATGTTAGTGAAACTGCTGGGAAGACAGCGCTGGAGAAACGTGAACATTTTATTTGTACTGTATAATCTGCAGATTCTGACAGAAATCTGCAGCTATCCTTTGAAGCACCGCTCCTCTAAAACAGCAATAAGGATAGTAGTAGTAGTATAGTAGTTATTAGGCCATATGTAAATAACAAAATAACTTTATAACTTAAAGCAAAATTGGGAAACGTAAAGTCCGCAACAAGTTTAAGGGCCATCAGTCAAACAATACTGTTTGGTCTGGGTCTAAACAGAGCGTGTTGTGTGTGATGTCTTCTTTTGGGCATGTGGGCCGCTTTGAGGATTCACACTAGAGCGTGTTTGCTGTCACATTTTATTTGTAGTGTGAACAAGCAGACAAAAAAAGTCAGATTTGATCAAAACAATCTGAATTGAGCATTAAGACCTGCAGTGTGAACGTAGCCATTGTCTCTCACTGAACGTTCTCCTATGACTGTCCTGCATATCATGTCCACCCTGACAATGCAGGTTTTGTCCAGCATTGTCCTTGTCTTAGACAACATCCACCTCTCCAACATCACCTTAAGGGAGTCCAGCTCTGTCCCCACAACATTCTTGGCCTTGTGAATTAGTTTACTGAGTCTATTGGCATCTGAGACCGTCAACCTGCCGCCCCAGCATGCAACAGCATAGAGGATGGCACTGGCCACAACAGACTCATAAAGAAATCACCTGAGCATTGTCTGATAGATATTAATGGACCCCAGCACAGCTGGACTGGCCATCGGGCATTTTCCTGGTGGGCCATTGGTGATTTTTTTGTTGTTATGGGCCGATGGTTTTTTTTTGTTTTTTGTTTTTTTTTTTTGGGGGGGGGGGGGGGGGGGGGGGGGGGTTGTAACGGTTTAAAAAATGAAAGGTGGTGGATTGGCTAATTGGTCATGATCGACTCTGGGCTGGCACAATTACAGCCCCCCCCTTGCTCGGGCAACGGCTCTGAGAGCAATCTTATCACAGACGAAGACAAGAA